TTCTAGCGTTGTAAGTCCGCAGATATACCGCTGTGCCACTTGGGGGCGCGCATTTATGTGAATATTTCGTGAGCATAGGTTAACTTTACAAAAAAATCTCTGACATGCGAAGCTTTCGTGCGCAGGACAGCCTGGTTTGAAGTACGAAAATAATACTCTTGGAAAAAAAAGATTTTGTTCGCTTTCAAAATACCAATATTTAAAAAGATAACTGGCACACAAAACTTTAGTCTGCATGGAACAATACAGAATGTAAGTCTCAAATATTTAAATATAAATAAAGATTTTGTGTGTTTGGCATTTGTTTTAAAGTCAAAATGTTAAAATTTAATTAATTTAAAACGCAACACTATCATCAATTAAATATTTCTAAAGTATATTGTAAAATTAATAATTTTGTGCGCTTGAATTAATTAAATCTATTTTTAGAGTTAAAATGGTAAACATAAATACATTCACACGTCACTCAAATCGTGTGCGTACAATGATTTAACAGTTTTGAAAAATAAGAATATCAAAAAGTGACACACATTTTTATTAAAACTTTAAACAATATCGTGACAGATCACGTTAGATTGCTATATCCATATAACGTCATAAGATGGTGAGCACAAACGTGTGCTTACATTTATATATTAATCAGAGGCTACTGTACGTGCTAATTACCTCTGAAATAGTCACACAAGAAATAATTTATCGAATATTAACACACTTGTTAGAATATATTAGCACGTTTGATGATAGATAGAGGCATTTAAGTAATCATATTTCATTTTGGTGGCCCGTTATTGTTTTTGTTTTCTTAATGAACTGCTACATATCAGGATATATGCACTTTGTCCACTGCGGGAAATCGAAACCCGAATTTTTAGCGTTTTAATTTCATAGACTTACTACTGGCTCAACGGGGAATATGACGGCTGGTATACGACAGAATGGACAAGCAAGATATAATAATACGTTACTTTTTCCTTTGCATGATGTGTTCTTGAAACACATCTTAGCTTCATATAATCTGCCCCACACTCGATGAATTCACGATGTTGTTATTTAATCTTCTGCATCATTCTCGTCAATAGATTTTAGTCCTGGTTAGCTGCATCAAGTAGGGATGCTACTTTTATTGAATTCGAGGTGCTTAGGATGTGTCCTGCTGATGGTAGACGCCTAGACACCATCTAACTGTCCTTGCCCCTGAACGAAACTTTTAATCCAGTCAACATATTGTTGCGTCATCGAGTCACATGACTACTGTGACGCAACGTTTCTAGAACTATCATGTACTTTGGCGAATGCTCTAGTGTTTGCTAGATGGGGTAGGCGGGTATATATAAGAGGGGAAAACGTGACGCGGGGGATGATTGTAATGTGTGCGTAGATAGTGAGTAATTGAACTGCAGTCACAGGGTATTGTTGAAGTTAACGTTCGTTCGTGATACTGTTTGTTTAGCGCGATTGTTGAAGTTGAGTGTATCGGTAAAGTTATATTCGGAAAGATAAACCAGTTTTATCAAGAAAGCAACTTGTGTCGCTTAAG